AAGGACAGCCTCTCTGCTCTCTAGACTTCGGAACAGTCTCTACATGTGCACAGACAGGGCACTTCATGCTACCTCAGATGCAATTTGCCCAAAGATGAGAACACAGGGAGTGGACAGGCTTCCGTACAAATCTAGAGGCTGATTTATCTGAGTTTTGTAACAGGAAGTTCACGACTCACTTATGTTTGCCCATGATTATATAGGTTATATGATGGTTAATGATAGTCAACTTGACAGGGTCTATAATCACCTAGGAGACAGACCTCTGGGCCTGTCTGCAAGGGGGATTATGCAATGGACAATAGTAAAGGTGATGTGCGGGTAACATCTCATCAGGGGAGAGCCCCAAGCTGTGAACAAACAAACTCATTTGGAAGGAGAGACTGAAGTGGGAATGCTGCTGAAGGGGTTCCTTGATCAAAAATAAATACCTAGGTTATTACTACTATATATACATGAATTTGAAAGGGAGTAAGGGGGATATAGGGAGGGTTGGAGCCAGGAAATGGTAGGGAAGAAATCATATAATTATATTTTAATTAAAAATTTAAAAAATATTATTAATAAAACCTTGGGAAATGTTTCCCCAGGGTCAACATACAGCAGCTACTACAACTGCTGTTCAAGGGAATCCAGGCTGCATCATGAGCCACCGGCAGGATTTGGCATGGAAGACGCAAGAGTGAGTATTATGGAAACTTTTATCATAGTTCTAGAGAGACACTAAGGCCAGGAGATTTGTGAACAAGCCAGAATCCACACAAAAGGCAGTAAAAATCCTTTGCATAGGGCTGGAGAGATGGCTCAGTGGTTAAGAGCATTGGCTGCTTTTCCAGAGGTCCAGAGTTCAATTCCCAGCACCCACATACCATCCACATGGTGACTCACAATCATCTATAATAGGCTCTTATGCCCTCTTCTGGCATGAAGGTATACCTGCAGAACATGCATACATACAATATAAATAAATAAAATCCTTTGTATAAATAGGTGAATGGGAAACCTAAGTTGTCATGGCCCCCAGGATCTTGGAGACACCAGGACCATGGCACATTCACCAAAGAAAGCTGCAGGCACAGAGTAGATCTCGTTCAAGTGAGAGATTGCATGTGAGAAAGCTGGAAAGGTGGGGCTGTCCAATGCTGTTGGAAGTCTGATAATTCCTTTACAAGCTCCAAATGCTGAGCGTGGAGCTCTAGGATCTAATGCTTATTCTGTTGGGTTTCAGTCACGCTTCTCTGTGATCTTCCTCTGTGATGTAACCATTCTCCTTTTTTGGAATGGGAGTGTTTATTGTATACCACTGTGTGTTGGGAGTATGTGACTCATTTTTAGATAATACAGGGCTCACAGTGGAGGGACTGCCTGAGTCTCAGAAGAGACTATGCATTCTACTTTTGTTGGAAACTATTAAAGTCCATGGAGAATACTGAAAAAGGAATGAATGTATTTTTCATTGTGCGATGGCCACGGACTCTTGGGGGCAAAGAGTGGAAGATCATGACTTAAAAGTTATATGTCTGGGTGTTAAGTTGACAAGGGTTGAACTTGTGATGATTAAAATGGATTGTCACTTTGACAGAATCTAAAATCACTTAGGAGATAAACCTCTGAGCATGACTTTGGTGGAATTTCTAGGTTGGGTTAACAGAGGTTGGAAGACTAAATATGAGGGGCATGGCTTCACGGGCTGGAGTCTTGGGCTAAATAAAATGGAAAAAGGAAAAACAGGAAGAGCCCTAGCATTCATTTTTCTAAGTTTCTCATCTATGAGCACAGTGGGACCAGCTACCACACACTGGTGGTACCATGCCTTTTCTGTCACAATGAGCTTTAAGTGTAGGCCTAGATGAATAGTTCCCTACATTTCCTTTGTCAGATATTCTGTCACAGAAAGAAACAAAATAATGCAGTTGACATTGGTGATCAGGGACTGTGACATCTAAAGGAAACACAAATTCGCAGAGAGCACGCCTTACTATAGCCAAGGAAATAAATGGTTAAAATCTGGACTCCAGATGCAACCACATCAGATGTGCACTGTGCACAAACAGACACAGCACAGCCTCTGCCGTGGGACCCCCAAAGGAAATAACTTCCCAGGTTAGGAACATATGAGATAAGCACTATTTTATTAATATAGGGCAAATGATAGAGATAGAAGCCCCATTTTCATCACAAGGAATTAATCCCAACTGGAACACTTTCAGAGTATGTCAGCAGCGAAGCAAAAAGAATAAGGTAAAAAGAGCTAACTTGCAAAATCAGTGAAGGCCAGCTTCGGGGACATAGGGTTTTTATTTTATTTTAGCTCACAGTTCCGGGTGACAGTCCACCAAGGAGGGGAAGTTGGGGGGGGGCGGAGCTTGAAACAATGGTCACATGACAGCGACAGTCAGAAGCAGAGAGTAATGCATGTGTGTTGCTAGTGCTCATGCTCTCCACTCTTACACAGTTCAGGATCTTCTGCCCAGGGAATGGTAGCACCCACAGTGGATGGTCTTCCCACCTCTACTAACACAATCAAGGTAATGCCCCACGTGTATTCTCAAAGGTCCATATTCCATGTAGTTGGCTTTTATTTTCCAGCTCCCAAATAAATACACAGAGACTTATTCTTATTTATAAATGCCCAGCCTTAGCTTGGCTAGTCTCCAGGCAGCTTTTCTAACTTAAATTATCCCATTTCCCTTTAACTATGCTTTGCCTCTGGGTTTTTAACCTTTCTCGTTCTATATATCTTTCTTTCCTTCTTACTCTGTGGCTGGCTGCATGGCTGGGTGGCTGGCCCCTGGTGTCCTCCTCTCCTTCTCCTTTTCTTGCTCCTTCCTCTTCTTCCTTCTTCTCTAGAGCCTAGATTTCTCCTCCTATTTATTCTCTCTGCCTGGCAGCCCTGCCTATCTCTCTCTCCTGCCTAACAATTGGCCATTCAGCTCTTTCTTAGACCAAACAGGTGTTTTAGACAGGCAAAGTAACACAGCTTTGTAGAATTAAACAAATGCAACGTAAAAAGTTCAGCAATCTTTGTATCATTAAGCAAATATTCTACAACGTAAACAAATGTAACACATCTTAAACTAATATTCCATAACAGTTCTGTGTGATTTTAGATTTTGTCAAGTTGACAATTAATACTAACCATCAAAATGTCAACCCTCATCAAATTGACCACAAACATATTACATTTAAGCCATCACCTCAAGGTCTTGTGCCCGGAGGCTCAAGACCATGTTATAATATAAAACGCATTTAGTTCAGCTTGAAGAGTCCCCATAGTCATCAACAGTTCCAGTAGTTAGCCCAAAGTCTCTAAACTGAGTGCTCCATAAAATAAAAAGCAAGTTATGTATTTCTAACAGATAATGGCACAGAGTAAACCAAATGGGAAGAACCAGGCCATGGGAAAGAGCAATACAGAGCAAAACCATAACCCAGCAGGGCAAAGACCAAATCCTGCACCTCTATGAGCATCACTTGGGGCTTCTGTAGGAATCACCTAGCCTTACCTTTCCAGCTTCACGAACTGCAGCATACCCAGATTTCAGGCTGATTTCACTCCATGCTGGTGATTGTCTCACAGTCTTGGCATCTCCAATATTCTGGGGTTTCCATCACAACCAAAGCTTCAGTTGCATAGCTTCTCACCATAGCTTCTGGTGGCAGGGGGGTCTTCTTTCAGGGACTCCAACACTGCCATGCATTGCTTGGCCTCAGCTGCTCTCCATGGAAGGTGCTCAACCTTGAGCCCAGCCTCCCTGGCTTCAAAACCAGTATTATGATGGCATTGCCAGGTTTACTTGCCAGCTCAAGAGGTGGCCTACCCACCTTGGACCACAGCTATATCTGCAAACACTTCCCTAGGCAGTTGCTTCTGAGGAGCAGGGAGATCTTTAACTTAAGGTTTCTTCCTTTAAATGTATCTGAAGACAGAGCTTCCAGGGGGCTTCCGGGGTCTTGTGCTCCAGGTTCCTTTCCTATTGTCCCAGTGAAACACAGGGGGCTTCTCTTAGGAGGTTGCTTTAACAATTACAGTTGCCTTCTCCATACTAGCTTGGATGTTCTTCCGCTAAACAAACTAGTCCATGACCTCCCGATTTAACTTCACTCAGGTACTCAGGACACAGGCAGACTGCTCTTGATCAAAATATCACACAAATGGCTCCTAGCCCGGCTCCTGACAGAATCTTTGTTCCCTTCTGAAACTTCTTGGATAGATTCTTCTCTCACAGAATCTCCTGTCACCCAGCCCAAGGAGTCTGAAGGATCAGGCATGTAAGTGTTCAAGTTCCAATCCTGTGGCTTCAATTTTATACAGCTAGTCATTTGGGGAAGAGAATATGCTCACATAAATTCCATAAAAGATAATTCTGATATCTAAAGGAGCATGAAGGATTTAGGCTGCAGGTGATTATAATTGGCAAACTAAGATAATCGACAAAAAGTTTCTTTTCCTACTTCCAAGTCCACGATTCTAAGAACATTACTTATACGTTTGTAAAAGTAAGTACTCTGAATTCACACATGGGAGCCTAATATTAAATATCCAAATTGTCCAAAAGTTCTTTCCAAAGTCTCCAAAGACTGTTATCATCAGGTTTATTTTATCTGAGGTGGCTGTGTCTCTTTTCTCCTACACCACCAATGTAGCTTCCCTACAAATCAAGGTACTTAAAGAAAAGGAGTGATGTGTCTCAGTGCAAGTGTCTGTGGAACAACACAGAACAGGCGGCTTGCAGCAGGATTCTTAATGAAGTTCCAGCTTGGATATGGGTGTCATCACTAAAGAGGAAGAGGATCATTCCAGACCATTAGCCTTCTGTGACTTCATGTTTTTCCGAATTGTTCTGAGAACATCACCTGCTGTAACTAGCAGACTTTTAATACTGAAGAAAAGCATTAGGGAAAGAGAATGTGGAAAATCACAGAAGCCACCTTAGAAAAGTTAGAAACAGACATAATTCAGAGGACAGAGTCAACAGGCTCCTCACCCTCTATGCAGTGAGCATTCTCTTTTCATTATTTCCCATGGCCTGAACCTCCTTCTTGCATCAAGAACCTCCTGACCTTTGAACTCCACCAGTAGGTAGGGAGTACCTCTTATATGAAAAACCTGGGTACTTAGTTTTCCAGCATCACTTCCAGTGAGATATGAACACATGGTCTTCCATCCATTGTTATCATAAGAAGTGTACTCTAGGATTTTTCAGTGGCAATCATGGCAGGGTAGGGCAGTTGGGTTTGGGGGAAGGGAAATAATGTTCGGTGCTTACACTGGGGCAGCGGTGGGTGTCTGTCTTGAGGATATCAGCTCTGTGACATGGTTTTGGGTGTTGTCTTCAGTGGATGAGGTACCAAGTTTGTCAGTCACCTTGATAATACCACTCAAGTCAGCCAGCGTACCCCCACCCATGCCCAATAAGTGATACACATGAATTCTGCCAATGCAGAAAAATGGGGCTTCCGTAAAGGAAAGAATAAACATTCAAATTTCTGTAGATAAACAAAACTAAAGTTTTTACTTGGAAGAAGAACCCAGGGAGATGGGACTTATTTGTGGCATTTGGTGGTAAATCAATTAAATTGTCCATGATGTCCAGATAGACTGAACTTCTGGTCTGGACTAAGAGAGTGGTCTATAATTCTAGGAGCTAAATAAACTTGGTATCTATGAATAAGAGTCTGACTGGGCAATGATTCAAGGTTCTCCATCTAATCACGGCAATGAATCAATCTTTAAACCAGAGCATCTAAAATAAAAGTGCCTTTGAGGGGAGACCTTGCAAGACCATCAGTAAAATAGATGATCTTGTCCCACACAGGCCTGCAGCTATGTGTCAGCAAGACATACTATAGTGGGAAGGTCCCCAACCCTGTGGATATCAGACACAGGCTCATTTAGGTTCTGGGAACAGGATATCATGAGGTCTATTATGTAGTAGAGACTTATGAAGAGACAGATAGGGGATACATGCTCAATGTGGCCTCAAGACTTTCCTGCATTTTCTCAAATTCCAATAGATAAAAAAGAAGATATATTCAACACTGTCAGAAGCTATTCCTTGAACCCCTAGTGCTGAACTGTTGGATTAGAAGTCAGAGGCAAGCAGTATTTTAGGAGAATTCACAGATGCAATGTCACCACACGTGAAGTAGAAGGTAAGCCTCTCACTGCCTTTTGGTGAATGGTCTAGTTGAAGCAAAAGACAATGCCAGGCAGGAGTGTGATATGACATGTGGTTGACCCAAAGTCTTAGTTAGGGTTTCTACTGCTGTGAAGAGACATCATGACCACAGCAACTCTTTTAAAGGAAAAACATTTAATTGGGGGGGGGGTCACATTTTCAGAAGTTTAGTACATTATCATCACGGTGCAACACGGTAGCATGTAGGCAGACATGGTGCTGGAGAAGTAGCCCAGTGCCTACATGTTGATTTGTAGGCAGCAGGAAGTAGTCTGAGACACTGGGCAGTAATTTGAGCATAAATGAGACCTCAAAGCCCGCCTCCAAGAAGACCACACCTACTCCAACAAGAAGTGTCACTCCTCATAGTGCCTCTCCCTTTGGGGGCCATTTCTTTCAACCACCACACCCAAAGAGCGTCTTCCCAAATATAGTCTCCACATTCAAGAAAATCATCAGAGATACAACCATAGGAAACAGACTCCCTTCACCAAAAGACCAGAATCCCAAGCCCGGCTTTTCTTCATATGTCACAAATTACTGTGTGTCCTCCACTCTGTTTCATGTCAGATGAGTGCTTCATCTATGCAGAGGATGAAGTTTTCCTTTCACTCCTGCAAGAAGGCAGACTTCTGCAAGGACAGGAAAGGAAGGGCCTTGTAAATATGGGTGCCTACCAGCTTCTATAGTTACTGGGACATAACTACAAGGTCTAGTATGAGTTTGGAGACAGAAAGGTAAGACACAGTACTATGTCCTACCTACCTTTGCTTCTGCATGGCCCTTCAGTTGCTGTGGAGTGACCAAGGAGAGAATTCAGTGCTGGCTGAGGGCATCGTTTCTGATGGTGAAAACACTACAGGACTGCTACATAGCAATAAGGGAGAGGGAAATGCAAGACAAACAGGGTTCCTGAGCAATCACCCAGAATTGTAGGCCCATGGATAAAGCAGTGGGACTAGAGTCTTAGACAGGTTCCACAGCCTGGACTCAGCCTTACAGTGAGGCTATATTTGGAGTCCTTCAGCCACACAGGATGGGGAAAGGCTAAGGTAGCCTTCATTTGGGAGCTTGGAGATCTTACTCTATTCAGGCTCCCTGTGTTTCTCTGGCTCCCTAAAGCAGGCATTACTGTTCTATTTCTGCCTTCAGGGTTTCCATGCTCAATTATTGCCCATGTTTGAAGGCTTCAACTGCCAAGGGCTTCATTCTGCTACCATACCTTGACCTTCCCTTATGTCCAGCAAAGACATCAATATCCACCACACAGGCTTCTGGATCTCTCACTTAAAGGATCTCGGAGACTGTCTTTTGAAGCACCTGGTGATTGACAGTGAATCTTATCCATCATGGCCTGGATATGCCTCCTCAGCATGATTTCTGAATGCACGTGGTCAAGAGTCAGGCTGTGTTTCCTTTAACCTCCTCAGAAAAGGACCTCAAATTTGGGATTGAACAGTGTGCTGTTTTGTAGAGGTCACAAGAAGTGGGTCAGATCCCCACTCTCTGCACTTGTTTTAGGTACTTGTAGAACTTAGACAATCTACTTTAGTTCATAGGGTTAGACTATCATTTACGAAAAGAATTTAGTTTCTAAATAGAAATAAAAGCATAAACAGTTGTTGATATTATGGGAAATTACAAATGAAAGCTCACCAACTTCACAGTTTGGGAAATTAAAGGCCAGGAAAACAGTGGCAGGTCCAAAATCAGAGACAGGCATAGAGAAAGGCAAGGAGAGACAAATACAGAGAGATGCAGGGATATATATGGACATAGAGAGACAGAGACATGAAGTCAGAAACATGAAAAACAGAGTGAGAAATGAAGAGAGAAAAAATGATAAAAGAGTGAGAAAGAGGAAGATGGGAAGGGGAGATGGAAATGACAGACACAGAGAGAGAGCTTCTAACGTGTAACCTGCTCACTGAGGGTGGAGCCCTGACCTACATGGAGAAACCTAGTGCTTTTCTGCTAAAATCAGCATCCTGAAGATGTCTAAGAATGCAGGGATGAAAGGAAATAAAAATTTTAACCTCTGGGTCACTAGAGCTCGTCTGGGCATGAACTGAAACTGGAACAAGAATTTTGCAGAGTTCGAAAAGCCTCGTGGATTTCACCATGCACTCATAAGTGGGGCCCCTGTGGCTGGTGAGGAAGCACTTCTTCAAATAATTCCCACATTTGTCTCATCTGATGACAAGGTCAGAAGTCACAGGTGCATAGAAATGTGAGCGATTCAATCAGGACCCAAACTTAACACAAGTCAAAGCTTAGTCTGTTCCTTTCTACCAGGGTGTCTTAGTCAGTGTCCTATTGCTATGAAGAGATACCATGACCAGGGAAACCCTTACTAAAGAAAGTGTTTAATTGCTAGCTTACAGTTTCAGAGGTTTGGTCCTTTATCATCTTGGAGGGAAGCATGGCAGCAAACATCGTTCTGGAGAAATAGCCCAGAGTTCCACACCAGGATCTACAGACAGTAGGGAGAGAGAAAGCCACTGGGCCTGGCTTGGACTTTGAAACCACAAAGCCCACCCCCAGTGACATACCTCCTCCAACAAGGCCACACCTACTCCAGCGAAGTCTGCACCTCCTAATCCTTCTCAAGCAGTACCACTCCCTGATGATCAAGCATTCAAATATATGAGCCTTTGGTGGGGGCATTCGAATTTAAAACCACCATACAGGGTCATAATCCCCCAGAATTGTGTGAGTTTAAGACAAGACTTAAGTAGCTCGAGATGGATTGCCATGCCTTCTGGCTCTTTATTACATCTATGTAATTTCTTTAATACATGGAAATCTTCACTCTTAGAGAATAGAATTCTTAGAGCCAAAACCACTAAAAAAATTAACCCTAGAAAATAGGGTAGTATAGTACATTTGCTAATTGCTTGCTGATATCAAAATCATCATCATCATCATCGGCTGGAGAGATTGCTCAGTGGTTAAAAACAGCATGCATTACTCTTGTATAGATTTTGGTTCCCAGAACCCATACTAGGTGGCTCACATCCACTCATAACTTTAATCCAGAGGATTTGACACTATTTCCTGGCCTCTTCAGGTACCTACAGTCACATGCATTCCCCATGTACATATAATTAAAAAAACAGTCTTTAAAAAGGGGAAACTGAAATTTCCAAAGTATGTCTAATAAACTGGTTTTTAAAAGATGAGTCTCAGAAGAAAAGCTGTCTCACGATGATTGAAACTACCAGTGCACATATTCTATTAAAACATAGTTGCATTAAATCCTAGACCTCACAGAACCAACTCTCGAGGATCTCTCTGGCATTCTTGGGCCCCTAGAGTTCTGGAAGAGGTGAAAACTTAGGGATATTGATGCAATAGGAAAAGCAGAAGTAGAGACTCCCCCTAAAGACAATTGTAATGAGTGTGTAGGCTCTGCATGGATGTGGGATTGTATGTACCCCAGGAAGGCCCATGGACCTAAGCAAGACCTGCTTATAGTTAGTAGAGAATGCTGAGTAGGTTCTCTGTTTGACATTCCTGCAAAGAATGTTGTAAAAGAGAGATTAGGAGGGCACTGAGGAGCCTGCAATGAGAAGGTTGCTCAGGAGGAAGCACACAGTGAGTGGACACCCACAGCAGCCACTAGGGTGACTGGTGAGGAGACTCAGTAGGTAAAAAGATACCTCTGCATTAAAGCTATGGTGCATCTAATTAAGGAATCTTAGATTTGATCTCTCTCTCTCTCTCTCTCTCTCTCTCTCTCTCTCTCTCTCTCTCTCTCTAGTGTGTGTGTGCCTGTGCACGCGTGCTTGTGTACATGTGAAAACCAAAGGTCCTTGGTATCCATTGTCTTCCTGGATTGCTCTCAACTTTGTCTTTTTTTTTTTTTTTTTTTTTTTTTTTTTTTTTTTTTTTTTTTTTTTTTTGAGACATGGTTTCTCTGTGTAGCTTTGCGCCTTTCCTGGAACTCGCTCTGCAGACCAGGCTGGCCTCAAACTCACAGAGATCCGCCTGCCTCTGCCTCCCGAGTGCTGGGATTAAAGGCGTGCGCCACCACCGCCCGGCTAACTTTGTCCTTTGAAAGGTGGCCTGTCACTGAAACCTGTGCTCACCAATTGGCTAGCATGATAACCAGAAAGAGCTAGGCCTCTGCTCATCTCTGGCCCACACCCCATACCACAACCATGTTACATGTACTACAACACTTGGCTTTTTCACATGAGTGCCGAGGATCTGAATTCATGTTTGCATGCTTGCGCAACAGGAATTATTCTCTTTTTAATAATCAAGTTTCTTGCTTATTGTCAACAACTAGGAAATGACAAATATGCATCATGAATTTAAAATCCTTCATTAACTTCTCCAACCAACTTGGAAGCAGTTAGTATTATGTTGTTGTCTTCAAACACTCTTACCCACTGCTCTGCATCAGCCACACTAGTCAGAAGACAATGATCCATTTGCCTGCCTTTACCTAGCATGAAATACATTTATCTTTACATTTAAAAGAAAATACTGTCTGCCTATAATATTTAGTACCAAGATACAAGAAATAATCAGAACTGAATTGTCAATTTTAATTGAAAAACATAATTGTAAAAAATAAAAAAAACAGAATCATGGATCCTTTAAAACTAAAATTCTGATTTATTAAGATATAAAAGCATACACACAAGTACTGTGTAATGTTTCAACACATGTATAGGACATCTTAAAAAAAGATTTATTTGTGCATATTTGCATATGCATATGTGCATGTATTTATGTGTCTATGTGAGTGTATGCCATATATGTGTAGATACCTGTAGAGTCAGAGGCATCTGACCCCTAGAACTGGAGTTACAGGAGTTGTGAGCTATCTAATGGATGCTGGGAACTGAACTTAGGTCCTCTGAAAGGGCAATAAATACCACTGGAGCCATCTTTCTGCTTCCATGTATAGAACTAAGAGAAGAACACTAATATTGCAGGCTCTTTAATCTTTGTATTTAATAT